TTGAATTGATAATCTCTGTTGCAATGTTAATGTTTCATCTTTAATTGTACAAACATTTAATTGTTTTTTTAACATCAACAAAAATGTCAAAATTATTAGTTTACATCAACAGTATGGAAGTTAAAGAAAATAATTAAGTTGTCTCATGGTCTGGAAGGTGACTTATTAATTCCCTCTCATTTCCAAACCTCATCAAGCAGTCACTATGTTTATAAGGTAAGTCAGCTGAATGCTTGAAATCTAGAAGAACTTTTAAGATCTTCAGTTTGTCCTGTTGAATGTTAATAGTATTGACATAAATAAATCCCTTCAGATAAATGTGAATTTATATGTTTGCAATATTCTAGCATACTTGAAAAGCTGTTTTCACAGTCATCACAAGCATGAGGAAAAATTTTAGTATGTTCAATAGCAACATGCCTGTTAACATTCATATTAACTCTACTCTGAAAACCACATACTTGACATACAAAGAAGTTTTTACATTTGTCAAAGGGAATTTTGCGGGTGCCTGCGTGGCTCAGTCAGTTAAACGTCCAACTCTTGTTTTGGGCTCAGGTCATGATCTCAGGGTCATGAGATTGAGCCCGTGTCAGGCTTCACACTCAGTGGGGAGTCTGCTTGAGATTCTCTCGCTCCTTCTCCCTCTGCCCCTCCCCCCCATGTGCCCTCTCTCTAAATAAATAAATAAATAAAATCTTTTTCCAAAAAAGGCAGTTTTGCTTAAGAGGCTGTACTATCCATGTTCTCCATTGTTATACTTAGCACTTAGTTAATTTACATGCATGTTCATTTACCATATGGCTTTGCAAGTCTTCTGGATCATTGGTTTCATGTTTACAAAACAGGCACTAGTACTATTCATCACAGTTGTGCTCCTGGAAACGTAGATAGCGTTCACTGCTTGAAGATAACTGTACATTGCACTGCTCACAGCAATAAAGGTCACTAAAATGGGCGTCCGCAATGTGCTGGCTGAGGTTCTCAAAAATCACTGTTTTGTAATCACGGTATTTACAAATGCAGGGATCCTCTTCATGCAGTTTGGTGTGTTCAATCAGAAGCATGTTAGTAGAGAAACTTTCCTTGCAAATTCGACACACATTTGAATCAGTACCTTTGTGCATCAGCATCATATGCTACTTTATAGCAGAAAAATATTTGCTGTTGAACTCACAAAGTTCACATTTACAGAAGTCATTGCTATTAGCTCTCAGTAAAGGCCGCTTCTGCTGGGCCAGCACATTCAAAGCTTGGCTCCTGTCAAGAATTTTGCAAACTTTAGCTGGTGGCTCCTCATCAGTTTGGTCTTGGAGACTCTCAGAGGAATTGTTATCTGTCTCCAAATCATACTCTTCAGAAATTGCATGCACTTCTGCAACAATTGGAACATCTTCAGCAGTGTGAACTTCTCTAGGACTCTCCTCTTGAGTTTGTTCGTTGACCGATTCAGGTGAGTCACACTCTTCATCACAGATTTCAGTATCAGCAGATTTTTTTTTCACAAAAGACAGTGTGGTCTAGAATTCTCAGTACAGAACTGGGAACCAGGTAGTTATGATTTCTATTTCTGGCCTTGATTCCATCTGCAAATTTTGGCAAATCATTTGATGTCTCTGTATCAGAGTCATCCTCTTGTCAAAATATTTTAGTCTGGTTTTCTTATAGAACAAATACTATAACTGATCAGAAAAAATTCCATTGAATCCATCTGCAATTCTGCTTATTCCAGAGGAATCTGAGTAACAAGAAGAGTTTAATGTCTTACTTTTTCTTGTTTTAGGATATTTATTCATATCTTTTCAATTTGGTATAACTCTTAATACTGTAGTGAGAAGAAATGAATTACAAGGAAGCTTTCACAGATGCTAAAAAATGCCAGGACCCCAGGACTGCAGTACTGTGGCCCTCATGCTCCTGGGCACTGCCCCAGACTAGCCCCTCTCCCCCCTGCATGCCTCACGCCCTGCCTTCTAGGCCCCCTGTACAAAGGTTTGTGTTATATAGGTGAAGAAGTCTAGTTTTTTTTTTTAAGATTTTATTTATTTATGAGAGAGAGAGCTTGGGGAGGGGCAGAGGGAGAGAATCTCAAGCAGACTTCCTGCCCAGCAAGGAGCCCAATGTAGGGCATGATTCCATGACCCAATATCACGACTTGAGCCAAAACCAAGAGTTGGACCCTTAACTGACTGAGCCACCCAAGCGCCCCCAAAGAAGTCTGTTTTTTTAAAAGACTATCTGCATTTCCTGCATTAATTTTAAAAGTCTCTTTAAACTACAGATTTTATTCAGATTTTATCATTTTCTTCTTAAATATATTTAAAGACATTTAAATCTCTAATTTGCATGGAATGTATTTTGACATGTAGTGTGTGGTAGTGGATCCAGTCACATTTTTTCCTCCAGAAAATATGACTAGTTGTTTTAGTACCACTTACTGATAAATTAATTGGCATACTGAATTGGAATTCCACCCTTTTTAAAAAGTTCTTTTTTTTTTTTTTTAAAGATTTTATCTATTTATTTGACAGAGAGAGACACAGCGAGAAAGGGAACACAAGCAGGGGGAGTGGGAGAGGGAGAAGCAGGCCTCCTGCAGAGCAGGGAGCCCGATGTGGGGCTCGATCCCAGGACCCTGGGATCATGATCTGAGCCAAAGGCAGACGCTTAATGACTGAGCCACCCAGGCGCCCCAAAAACAGTTCTTAAAAATACCTGTATCATAGGGGCGCCTGGGTGGCTCAGTTGGTTGAGCAACTGCCTTCGGCTCAGGTCATGATCCTGGAGTCCCGGGGTCGAGTCCCGCATCGGGCTCCCTGCTCGGCAGGGAGTCTGCTTCTCCCTCTGACCCTCCTCCCTCTCATGCTCTCTGTCTCTCATTCTCTCTCTCTCAAATAAATAAATAAAAAAATCTTAAAAAAAAAAAAAGATTCTCTCTCCTTTAAAAAAAAAAAAATACCTGTATCATAAATAAATAAATAAATTAAAAAAAATACCTGTATCAGTTTCTAGAACTCTTGTGTACTAGTAATGTATTTATATATAAACATATCTCACTCTTGATTATGGTAGCTTTATATGTTTTAGTATTTCATGGTAAATATATAATGGCAGGTAATATTTGTTGCATGTAACAGCAGTAGGTATTCAGCTTGGCATCCTTCACAGGTCAGCTGGTAGAGTATGCAGACAAGTGGTATTGGTGTTAGGGTGTGTGCATTTGAAGGAGCAAACACTTCTTTCAGTCTTTAGAAGCTGCTTTCACTAGATAAAGACCTTCTCCTGCTGGGTTTCAGGCCTGGTGGTTTTGCCTCTGGGATCATAGTTGAGTTGGGTTGAAGCCATGTAATACAGCTGCTCCTGGATCTGTATACTACAATCTGTGGTTGAAAATCCTATCAGTAGGGAAGTGGACCTTGTCTGGTCCCTGGGTAGAGGGACCAGGACCTTGGTCAGTAGGGCTGGACCTGGGACAACAGTTCTCTTCAGGATCCACAGGTGGCAGGGCTATCTTCCCAGTTGTGTGAAAAAGTATGGCTCTCTCACTAGGCATGCATGAATAGCCCCACAACACAGCTGAGAGGGGCTGAATCCATGTCATAGAACTGCCTTAGGGTCCACATCCGTGACTGAGTTCTGTAGGCCTGCCTCAGTCGGCACTGATGGATGAGTCTTCCCCTCATGATTCCTACATCATGGCTCAGAGTGTTTGGAGCTGGGCTGTGGGCTGCTTCAAGATCTGCAGTCTGACCAGGTCTGCAGGTTT